TTACCGCTTGTTGAACGCACTTGATCGACGATTGTCATATATCAGCCAGCTCCTACGGCCTCGTTTAAGATTCGCCAAATAATATGTTGCTGTTCTAAGCGAACAACTTAACTGCTCTAGACCAGAAACTAGCTTTTAAATTTGATATCGATTGTTCTAAGACTTTTCAAATGTAAGATCGGTATCACGAAAATAAGACCAACATTTCCTAAATTTACAAACTAACGGACAGCACTCAAAATTAATGTCTGTCAAAGAAATACTTAATAAAGCAGCATTTTCAAACGTCATATCTGAAGTTTTTAAAATTGCGCCTTTGAATTTGTTTGCGACGTTGCGGACGTTTCATGCCCAAAAATATTAAAAAATTGAAAAAAAAAATATAAAAAAAAGACGCGGTGGCCGCGAAAGAGGCAAAAATAATAAGACATTGATTTACAGGCGATTTAATAAAGCAAAATATGGAAAAAATAAATAATAAAAAAAAAATTTCGCAAACCGAACTTCTAACTTCAGTAACGTCCAGACAAGAAGCTTTCACTTCGGGTAATTTCTTTATAATGCAGCGGATCATCTGCTGTTGACTCTAAGTACGCAACGAATCAACTCACCTTCCAATTGGTGACTTTGTAGTTGACACATCCGGGAAAGAAATTGGAATAACTGTGTGTGTATACTTCATACTGCTCCTTTGCTGGGAGCGATCTACGCTCTTTCAAATGACTTTCGACTTTTTAAACGTTTGTGGAGTCTGCACTATATACACACATTGTATAGCTTCATGAATAGCTGCGCTTATGAATTCCATAGTACGAACGCTCTATGTCTTTAAAGTTCTTTATAATTAATTCCCCGAGTTCATAAGTTTCATTCGCTTTAGCTTACAAGTCATCCTGGATGCGAAGCGAAATTCCCGTTCTTCTGGTATGCAGCGTAATGCATCTTTAAAGCTTTACCCAGAAAAACAAACTTGGTCTGGAGTAATTCTTTGTCATTCTCCTCGAGCTAAGTTGAAAGCTCAGCAAAAGCTTTATGACTGCAAAAAACCGTAAATATTTTAGTTTCATGTTTAAGACGAATTCTAAATCTAAAATTTTTTCTATTTAGTTGTGTGTGTGTGTGTGTGTGTGTGTGTGTGTGTGTACGCGCGATCAATACTCAAAGTCAAAGGAAAAAGAGTCTGAAACGTTTGAGAAAAAATACTATTAAAAAAAAGAAATGAATATTGTTTTTTTGCCAACCTAACGTGATAATGTATGGCATCGTAGTGTCTTTTTGTCGTAGTTCTGACACGCCCGGCTTTTTGTTTCATAACACGTTTAACATCAGTTAAGTGAATTTCCATGTTCTACCTTTTTAAGCAAGATATTTTTTTCAATTCGTAAAGTTACTGTTGTTTTTGCATAGTTTCTCTTAGAATTACTTTACGTACTGCAAGGACATCTTATAAATTATTAAAAAAGCGCAAAAAAAAAAAAAAAATAATAAAAAAATAAATGAGAGAACAATTCCCACCAACATATTCATTACAAATTCTTAATGCTTTTTCATACTCTTTTTTTTTACTTTGACGTCAAGTTGAACACACTGAATGTAACTCGTACGGGCCTCGTCGAGGAATGTATGTGACAAATATTATGAAGCAGAATAAAATTGAAAAATATCCGTGCAATTACAGGCGAATATTAAAGTCCTTGCAGCAACAGTTTTTTCCAAATCAAATCCAAACACCCTATTTCACGATGGCGCTTATCTTCTCGGTCTTTAATCTTTAGTGAACTTATTTTAACCTTTCGCTTAGTTAATAAATCTATTCAAATCTTCTCTTCCCAGCAGCTTTTGAAAGGAAAATAGAAAGTATAAGAGAGAGAGAGCGAGAGAGAGAGAGATAGGTAGAGTAAAAGAAAGAGAGAGTGGGTGAGAGAGGGGGTGAGTGAGGCCGAGTGAGAGTGTAAGAAGAAGGGGAAGAAAAGAAGAGAAGAGAATGTCCCAGTAAATGGAAGAGGTAGAGAAATGGAAAGTGTGTTCATAAGGAACCTTTCCGTATTTATCCATCCCCAGTGTTGGCGACAGATTACAAATGAATAATTGAAAACATTTTCTCAAAGCACAATTTGTCACAACAGCATATATTTTTCTTTCCCTCTTACTTAAGTAAGAGAGTAGATTACTGCAAGTGTTTGAAAATTTGCTAAAAAGTCTGCTACAATGTGTTATCAAGAAGAACAAAATGTGTCAGAAGATGAGGCAGAGTGGGAAAAAGAACGAAAACTAATATAAATGCACTTGAGTTAATATGTATTTGAAATTTTTATTGAATTACGACATTTGTAAAAGTCTTGAGATTATTGGTTATAGGTCACGACTACTTAGCCTACTTTTGTTCCAGCTCTGATGGTTTTTTTTTTTTTTTTTCTACGCCTTTACTCATCGGCAATTTTCCCAGATGTGATTAAAGAGTTTAATTCTCGGTTAATGGGGCTTTTTGACTAAAATTTCATTTTTACTTTGTAACACTTTTTCTTTTTGTTTCCATTGCTTTACTCTATTCACCTTTGAAAAATAACACACTACGTGGACCAATTAGCTATAAAAAATATATTTAAAAAAAAGGAAAAATAAAAAAGAATATTTGTTTGTTTGAAAGCTTTGCTTTTTGCAAACATTTGAAAATTTAATCTAAATCTTGGATTTTATTTGTTTTGCTGTTATTTTGTCAACTGTAATAAAAACCTTTTATGATTTTAAATATTTAATGCGATTTAAAGTAGGGATGATATCGCTTATGGACGCACACATATAGATATGCGCATATGTGTTTGCGAATTTTCAAATGTATGTGTTTGTTGGTTTCCACGTGCTTTTCCCGTATTTTTTTTTCTTTTTTTTTTTTATGTTTCACCGTTACACTAGTCTACAAAACTGCAGCTCACATATATCTAAAAATACACTGAGCACATAATTCACTAAAGCATACAGATCGAGTAGCAGCGACACGCCTGAAAGAAATATATATGTATATATATATATATGTAGGTATGTATGAATTGAAATATGTAGTCATACGTGTATTGCAAGACGATATAGTTTAAAGGTCAAAAGAAAACTTACCATTGTTTCTCTTAGAGAATTGGTATTTCCGGTATCATGTTCCCCTTTTAATTTACGATCGAATTCCGTTGTCGTGGTATGATTTCACAAGATTTTAATTTCCATATAAACGCTATTGGGAATGATTACGTCACCTAAGGATTGCAATATGATGCTCTGTGTATATTCGCTTTAGGTTAAGCTTGATAGGAATCTCAAGCTGGCAAAATATTAAAATGGAATCTACAAATTATGTAAGGTGTTTAGTTAAAACAAGTAAGAAATTTATATCCGGCTGGGGCCAAATATTGCTTACCCATCACCATTAAAGTCTTCAATTCATTAAAAGTCATCGTTAAGGAAGCTTAGTCTACCACCTTGTGACGTCCACCAAAATTAATTTGGAATTAACATATTTAGGTTGTTGCATCCTGCTCTTCAAGTCCATATTAACGGTATTGTAACGAAAGGATTAATCCGTGGCGTCGTGACGACCACGATAATTAATTTAGAATTAACACTTATCTCGTCGCCTTGTACTCTCCAAGACCTTTTATTTGATACCCATATCGCGGGTATTATTAAGAATAAATGAATCCACCATCGTCCAGATCGTGGGATCGTGTAATGCATTTTTAGGCGGACAATTGATCTTCAGTTGAAGAATATGTAAAATAGCTTTAAACATTGCCTTGTCTGCCTCGTGATTAATAAGCATAAAAAACGGAAATTTAATCAGTTATAACTTTGCGTGTGCCGGGCCAATTTTTCCCGTTTTTGCTCATAAATAGCTGAGTTTTTCATGAGGTATGTGTAGAAAGCTGAAGTTTTGTACTCTTTGTAAAATGTAAGCAATTTGTCGCAGTTTCAATATCAAGTTGTGTGAAGAGATTTCTGGGCACTTCTTCTTCCATTTTTGCGACCAGAAGAATTTCTAATTCATGTAAGCCCGCAAGCGGATAAACATGGCTGAGTCAATACAGAATATCATGCTAATCAAGAATATATACACTTTACAGGGTCTTTGAATCTTTCGTTTGATCGCTTCATGCACAACAAGAAAAAGAGTATATCCCCCCGTCGTTCAGCCGCAAGCACAAGACCAATTCTCATAGGCTACACGCCAGTGATATTCTTATTTATCTGTGAATTTTCGCTCTTAGATCTTTATTGCTATTATGCGCCCATTCCAGTTCTCAAACTTTGTCTGAGAATATACTTTAGAAATTAATATGCGAAAGAATGGATCGACAAAGCTAAGTGAAACATAATCCTTCCACAAATCGATGACGTGCGCCTTCAATATGATCGCTTTACTCACCAAACAGTTATCTGGCAAAATTTGTGAAGCCTTTAGCCTTTAGCTGGCTGTTAAAAACTTTCACTCTTGCCAAGAAGTAAAGTTAATAGATGTTATGTTACAAGTTTGTCGCACTTTGAATGCGAAGAATAGCGAAATGTTTTACTTTATATTTCAGTGCATCATTGAATAAATTCCAAGTAATGCATAATAGTGGGGATGATACTTCATTCTCAGCGCGAATAATCCATCTAGACTTTAGTGTTTAGTAGTAGCGGTTGTGTCTGCTCTTTTCGTTCATTTCATTTCTCTCATATTAATTGAAATTCAAAGTGAGTCTTAAAACAATTGGTCTGCAAAACCTTTGTAAAACTACTTTGTAAAATGGGAGCAATTTATGTAAATATATGCGATTTATGTGACGTGTGTGTTCTCTAAGTCTAAAATAATCGATTTTAGTAACACTTTATAAAGGATGAAAATTTTGAATTTATTTTAAATGCCTTAACCGATAAGAATATGAAACTGAAAATAATTTTAAAGTTTTATGAGAACATCGATGATACTTTAGATCTTATTACGCTTAATCTGCCGAAGCTTAGAAGGTCACTCTTGTCCGTTCCGAAAAATTGCATTTCTGCAGCAAAGTGGCGTATTTCGGCAGCTTTCGTTTTTGTCACTTGATCAGAATTGTCAATATATTTTAGAGGATCCAGTGGGTTATTGTAAAGATTTGGATATTTCCGTGTAAATGTTGCCTCTTCATCGGACAAGAGCAATTTAGGTGCAGGTAAAGGTTGAAACTTAAATTCATGTTTTGTCGAAAATACCCGAAAAGATGCCGCGTAACGAGTTGGCACCTCTTTGTATTTCGATCCGATCGCAGAAAACGGTTTGTCCAAGATTGGAAAGTTGATCTTTTTGCGCAATTTGGTTTTGTGTACGGGGCTTTTCGGGACGAAGCCGCTTACAGTGGATTTTCTCGAACGCCTGTCAATAGAAAAACGATTAAGAACGCCGCTACCAAAAGCGACTTTATTTAAACGCAAGTGCCTCCGCACTATGATCTCCGTCGTTGTGTTATACATAATCTTTTTCGGTTTTTCCGGTAATTCCCGATGTGTTTTCACTCGAGCCGGAATAGAATGTAATGCAATCGCCCATTTAGTAATTTGAGGTGTTCGCCGTGTACTCGTTTTGGTAATTTGCTCACCTTGCGAACGCTTAAATATTCTTCTAAATAACCTTGCGTAGCCGCTCCCAATTACATGCGCCCAATCGGGGCAACAATATTTTTTAATATTTATTTTATGATACTGCTCCCAACGTAATTTGTGACGCCCTTCACGATCTACCAACAGATACAAGTTCGGTTTGTATATTTTGTGAGAAGGACAAGGGCAGATTTTCCAGTAGCGTGCTTCATATCGTCCCGGTCCAGGGGCAAATGACGTGTGACGCTTATGTATCACATTTTGGATGATCGGTACAACAGAATTTCGATGAAAACAATGTGGATTAGCTTTCACTCTCCTGTGCATGAATTAAAAAAATTATGTTAGTAAGCGATTTCCAAATAAAGCCGCTTTACCTACGGTTTAGATATTATCTTTTTATCTCTTATCACTACGTAGTCACTTGGGCCGGGTTCATTTGGATATTTTCGACATGTAACTAAACTCGATACCATAGTGCGGCTGCTTGAAATTGGTGAATCTATTTGAAAGTCACATTTTACTCCGGTCTATTTAAAAATCGATCTATTAGTAGAAAAAGTAAAAGCATTCCTACTCACTTTTGAGAAAAAGTCCTTTATAATTATTAGAATAATTATACAATCTATCCTTGAAAGAAACCATAGGGCTACACTTTGGGCTAATGCCAGTAGGCGCTTGAAGAGGTTTTCGCCCAATTTTGCTGATATAAGCGCCATTCGAACCGGTTTTACGTGAAAATGGTTTCTCACTAGCATCGTAGCGATTTGGTGGTAAATGATCTGCCGCTTCTCTAAACGAATGACCTGCACTGCTATTAAAGTGCGTCTTATCTATACATTTCTTTTTATCCTCTTTATAATCGCCCACCATATTGCGAAATTTACGCTGGACCACTGTTTCTTTTTCAATATCATTTTCTGTAAAAAAGAACATTCGTTTCTTCTTCTTCACATTCCCGCACTTGCGTACCTACCGTTCTTACAATTTTTTGCTTGAGCTAGGCCTCCTCTCCTTATTAAGCCCTTCGCATTATCCAATTGTTCACTTTTGATTCTATTTCCTTTAAAGCGAAGAGACACACAATATTGCTATCATTTTGACTTTAATTTGTTTTTTTTTTTTCGATTAGCGTAACTTACTCGAAATCAAAAACAAAGGCAAATTTAACTTTGTTGGCACAAAATTTGCTTTAATCTTAGACATGTTGACGAAAAATTGATTTTATGTAAAAAACGCAAGATATATATAAAATATATAAAAGTGATATAAAAAACCATAAAAAAGGTAAAAAAAAAAACGTATAAAAATTAATATATTTTCTCTACCCGTTTGTCATAAGCAAAAATGTAACGAGAAATGAGAAGAAATTTATCAATTTTCCTATTGACATGAAAGGCATCTTCCCGGTCTACTTCAATTTTATATATATTTATTTATGAAAATATTTATGAAGTTACGGTGATTTTCGGTAATAATGTTATCAAAAAGAGACCTTCAACTACGCAGGATTGGCAAGAAGGATGTTGAAATTAAGTCGTGATAGAGAGGAAATTTGATGGGTTGCATAAAATGTGAAAAAGACTCTAATTATACTTCTACTCCGGAGGAAGCATCTATTACTTAGTTTATGGAAAAAGGGGAAATAACTTGGTGTGCAATGCGAAAACCTGATCTCAGCACTTTTAAGCGTAGTCTTAGATTTTCATCGCAAAATTAATAATACATTCATTAAATAAAAAGTTGCATAATTTAACTCGACATTTTCAACGGCTTCTAGTCGTTAGGCCTTTGGCGAATTTAATCATGATAGCAGTTTTCATGTAGGGAAAAGGCATCCAAGCGCTAGTGATAAGCATTGTGCAAAATATCATAAAAAAAAAAATGCTATTGGATCTATCATCAGAGCCAAGCAATATGAAGCTCATTTAAGACTGGCGGTCAGCATTATATATCTGTGAGAATTTAGATAACAAAGACTTGCGAAGATTTTCTATGTCGAACGAGCCAAAAATCTCTCAATGAATGGTTCACAAGAGTTGTGAGAAGAAAGCTTCAGAGCTCTCCTTGTGTTCTTTGAAAAACATTATGCACACTCGATGGGATTTGGGCAAACCAGTTCTAAAAAAAAGCAACACTGCATGACTGTTTTAAGGTGATCCAATAAAAGTAGTAGGAGCCTACAGAAAATTAACCTCCCAGCAGCAATTAATAATAGGGAAATAGAGCAAGATAATCAATTTCGATTGATATACAATGTTTGACGAAGGACTTGAAAATTTATACGCGACCACAAGAACGGCCCGCTCGGTATATGAAGCAGTGTATATCGATCAGGTTTTTTTCACCGCACAGTCGTTGTCCTAATAACCACGCAGTTCCCAATAACCTACACCATATGAAAATGAATCTACAAATATAACGACTTCCGATGTGGATAGTGGATATAAGATGATATTCAGTATTAGATCGATATATACAACGTAAGATGTGTGATTTTGATGTAAAGATCTCACAAGAGAAGGTTTATGGTTTCCTGTTTTGCTGTTCTTATAATGTGAATTAAAGCCAATTTAAAAGAAGTAAACAAAACAACAAACTATCGCTACGTTAGAGTAAGTCTACCCAATACATGCCTAAGGTTTTCATGCGACGCTTTGTTGTGGCAGTTTCTAAAGCTTTTGAAAATTTTTCCAATCTTCGACGTCCGTTTTATGTATAAAGTTATGTATAAGGTATTGTTTTTATTTTTCATAGTCACGTAAAAAATTTAATTTCACTCGAATCTGTTCGATTTTATTCTGCTGCAGCCGCCTTTGCTGCGATCGCCTCTTTTTCTTCTTTAGTGAAGAAAAATGTTTCAGGTTTTGGGCGTTGCAAGAAATGGCCGAGTAGAGACGAGCGTTCAACATGTATATCTTCCCTGGTGACCAGAATTTTTGGATCAGGTAATGGGCTAAATTTGAAGTCTTTAAGACTTTTCGGTATTTCAATTTCAGGTCCTTTCCTTGTGATCACATACAGTTTTGATGCAATTTCTTCCGGAGCTTTGGACATTATTGGATGATCGCGCAACTGACGCTCTAACGGAAGAGTTTCTTTTAAAGCTTCAAGTTGAGCGATTGTAAGCGTTTGAACCAGACGCTTTTCCTCTTTAAAGCGCGGCTGACCGCTGCCAAACACGATTTTCTTATTAATCCGTAGTGTTTTCCGTATGATAGGCTTTCTGAGAGTGTTAAATTCTATGCGCGGAGGTATTTGCGGCAACGGTTCAGAACGCAACGATATGAGACGACGAGAGGGATCACTAAGACTGTGAATGTATTTGGCATCTGCATAATTGACCTTGATGTCTCTTTTCGCCAACTTTTTCGTAGTAGTTTTCTTGGATGCCCTTGGTGGGGCTCCTTTGAAAAGATGGCGAAAACCGCGACCGGGAACATGACGCCAGTCGGGAGAACAATACAAACGAGCTTTAATTTTGACATACGGCAGACGACGAAATTTGTTGCGTTTTTCACGATCGATTAGTAATTGGATTTCCGGCTGATATATCAAATTTGGACTACAGGCGCACACTTTTTGATATCGAATCTCATATCGGCCTGGTGCAGGATTAAATGACACATGCCGGGGATGGCAGCTATTTATTTTAGCCGGTGCCGAAGAAAAACGACAGAATAGATGAGGATTTTGTTTTTCCCAACTGAAAATGTTAAGGACCATTGAAGTACGAATGCATTTTCAAAATTTCTAATTGCAACGCTTACGTTTGGAAGATTTCTTTTTCCCATTTCATGGGCGTATGATAAGAATTGGGTGCAGGCTCATCCGGGTTTCTATAACAACCGCTCATATTCGATATCATTATTCGGCTCGTGGGTTTTCTTTGCCGAGCATCTGTTTTGAAATATAACCAAATGGTGTTCTTATCAATCAAGAAAAGAAGAGTTAATCGCAATTTTCACACTTACTTCCCCCCATTACCCCTTTATGCTTTTGAGCTTTGCTCCATAAATGATCCATTTCGGTCGGGATATTATAGAACTTAAACTGTGCTTTGCCCTCATTTGTTCTGGGTCTTGGCTTGCCTTTTGAGAGCTTTTTCCAGTACGCTCCGCCTGAACCCTTAAAGCTAGCATACATTTCCTTTAGCGTGTCGTAGCGATTAGGAGCCATTTGCCACGGCTTATATACAGTTAAACTGCGCCAATCGCCTTTAGGTGGACTCGGCTGAACACATTGGCTGAATGGTTTTGAGTAAAACTCGTTTAGACATCTTTGAAAATGGCGCATAGTAACTGTCTCGTTCTCTAATGCGTTTTCTGTCGAAGGCAAGCAAAGAGAAATATTCGAACTTATCTTGTAATTCGACCAATCTTCTCTACAATTTTACCTGAAACGCAGTCAGACGTATACAAATTTACATTTTTCCCTAAATATCTTCTCAACGTATTCCTGTAGCTGTATTTCAAATTGTTTCCTATAAATCGTTAAAACTATAATTATTTACGCGTTAATTGCTTAAATGAAAACCTACTTGAAATCATGAACAATGGTACCGCAAGTCTTGCACTCACAAATCTCGTATGACGCGAATCCATTCTATTGATTGAAAAATAATTCCTTTTGTTCTAGAATTTCTCTAATAAATATAAATATACGCAAATATTATATGGAAGACAGACTAATTAATATTCTTTCGTATGTAATTCCCGCGATTATGTAAACGTGAAAACATTTAAAAAACTATTGAAATTTTTTTTTTTTTTAAATATTCAAATATGATTAAAAAATTATGTGACCATTTATAAAAAAAAAAAAAAAAAATTTTTCTTTTAAAACAAGTTGAAATATATAGGCGATACTAGGCCACTTCGCCTGCTACGATCCAAAATTGAGAATTAATCAAGAATTGGAAATTTTATAGAATACTATGAAGAGTAATATGAACAAAAATGATTCGCTGAAAAAGTTAAAAAGTTACATAAGAGAATCTATTCGCACTTTCCATATTATAATTTTTTCAAAAGATATAAAAATTTGATCATGCTGCCACGTACAGATGAATTTTGAAGAAGAATCTTCATATGGGATATAACTCGAAGAATATGGTGCTGTGATTTAAATCTAGCATAGTAACTGTATATTATTTCGGATAAATTTCGCATAGTAAAATACGAAAATTTTGATTTTGTTGCCTAATAAAGGCTTTAGGGAAACAGTGTCAAAGCGAGTAGAACGTGATCTTACTCGATAATATTCTAGAACGATTTATTATGGCCAGGGTCTCGTTTGTCGTCATAACTACAAAGTATTTACATATATTATATATGCGATCAGACTTATATATTCTCGATATTTCACCTGCTTAAGTTTTATTTTGTCGAGTGCAACTGAAGTCTTTGCTATTTATGCGAAAGATGAGGACCAGTGTTCAGTAATTAATGCTGCAATGAACATTTTTATTTGGTACTAAAATAACAATTGCAACAGCTATTCAAAGATTTTGTTGTTACATAATTGCCATTTGAGTCAATGTTTGACAGGAGGATAATAAAGTAAAATCATGCCTTCCCTTTGCGATAATGAAATTTAGTTACGCAAATATTTTCATGGTGTGCCTACGCGCATTGATTACTCATAGAAGAAGAGAGCGAGCAAAGCCGGATATCTACTAAAAACGAATGTTTCCAGCTAAGGTGTCCAATAATCCCCCACTTTTGTACTCTACTTAAAGCTAATTTACTGCTAGTTGTTACTAACGTATCCTAACTTAATTCCTAGCATCTTGTACTCAGAAAACATGTGAGATCAAAATGAGGAACGATTTTCGCTCCTCCCAATATAAAATTTAGACTAATTCCCCTTCAATTTTTCTTACATATTGCACTTTGTGCTCATCAAAGGAGATCGTGTGAAATGCGATTTATTCTTTTAAATCTGCCAAGCATTTTCAAAAGAAATGAATGTTGATCTAAAAATTAAACGCAATGACATCGTGAAGAAAGTCTAAGTCAAATTATATAAAGTCTGATTGTTTTCCATGCAAGTCACTATAACATGAAACCAAATTGCAAACCATGCCAAGATCACATTTTGTAGAAGCAAGGTAAAATTAACTAAAAGTGAAGTAAAGAAGAGTGCTTCAATGTACGATTAACTACAAGAAATTAATTAGTATAGAGGCTCTGTCTGTCGTCCACGATATGCAACGGTCCCGTGCTATATAAATTTTTTTCTTGCCTGGCCGGACTTTAGCACCAGTTACTAAAGCCTTGAGTGCAGTAAAAATTCACCACAATATTCATATAAATACATAAAGATACATGTATTCCTACTCGATAGCTTCAGTTTAAAAATGGTTTTGTTCCGCTTAGTGTAGTGCTCATTTAGTACATAATGACTTTATTTGGAAAGCGGACTTGAAGAATAGATAGAAAAACGTGGAAAATATTTTTTATCGTCAGAAACCGTTGATACGTTTACAACTGTGTTTTGGACGCGTCCCAATTGGAATGAAAAGAATGCAATGGCAAATAATAGATGCCTGCAGGTCTTTTGATCATTTTTTCAGTTCAAAAATGTATTTATTGAGAAAAATTGGTACAATATACATAAATGAAAATATTATCCATTATTTTCTACAACTTTTTTCCATCTTCTTTACAGCATGGCAACTCCGGGTCGGAATAACAATCCGATCATGAACCCATTTTCACGCCTCTTCACCATTTCGACACTGCATGCCGGCCAAGCTATACTGCATCAATTTGAATAAGTGGCAATCAGAAGCCGCTATATCTGACAAATATGCTGGGTGCGGCAGAACTTCCGAACGTTTGGCCGAATGTTGTTAAGCAAGAGGATGAATTTGCGTTTACTAACCTAATTGTTGGCCTTTTTTGCAGTAATACATTGTTCAATTTAAGTAATTGACGTCGATAGACATCGTCAGTAACAGTCGGCGAAAGACATGTTCAGGTCTTCGGCTTACCGAGCCTAGCTTAGAATCAATTAAATTTCTACTCTTCAAGTTCTTTTATTTGATACCCATATCGCTGGTATTATTAAAAAAAAAGTAATTGTGGTATCTAACGTATTCGTTTTAGAAATAACCCATGGTTAGATAGATTATATATCTTCATTTGAGGAGTGTACAAAGCGGTATTAAATACTCTTTCTTACTTGGCTTATGACAAATAAGCATAAAACCTCAAAAAAAGTGAAAAAAAATAAAATTTTGATTACTTGTAACTTTGTGTGGGCGTGGCCGATTGTTTCTACTTTTGGACGTAAAGAGTAGAGTCTTTCGTAAAATAAATGCGGAAATTATCAGCCTTCTAGCTTTAATAATTGTTGAGTAACGAGCACAAATCCATAAATTTTTATTAAAAAAAACGGAGCTGCGATCAGTTTACGCTTCACTCGACGCTTCCGCTCCGATCAATGTAGCTCCTTTTGCAATACCGACTTGTATGCAGAAACTCCCAATGTCTCTATAAAATTTGAAGTCGATAGCTTCATTTTTTGACCAGGGGAATGCCAATAACACAGAATACCGAGACGGACGGACATGGCTGAATTAACCCAGAATTTCCGCTGATCAAGAACATATATACTTTGTAGAGTCTTTGCAGCTTCGCTTTTTGTGTCATGTACATTATGGAAAATAACAAAGTGAGTATATCTCCATCTTACAGTGGCGGGTATAAAAATTAAAAGAAATTTCAATTCAATATTAAATTCTCAATGTATTAATTTTTTCCCTCGATCATGTTTCCTTTGAAAATTTGATAAGATAATGATATCTAAACCCTTCTCTTTAACACGTTTGGTTAGGGCGGGTATTTTTATGCCAATGAGTTGAAAGATTGGAACGATAGAGCGTTATTTGTAGGAAACACGAAACATCAAAATTCAATTGATTTTCTATTGAATTCTCTTGTTAGTCTATAGATGGCGCTAGTAAGTAATATTATTATTATTATTATTATTATAACTTTAGACTAATGAAATAAATTCTTAGACTAAATAAAAGACATTGAGCACTAGCAACACTGTCGGCTATCGGCTTTAATTTAAATAAATGTACATTAGATAATGAGCTTAGTAGTATTAATGAAGTAATATATTGAATTGATATTCGTTTCTGAAGCGGATTTTAGAATGTCTATAGGGTTAATCCAATTCCAAATGCAATACTCCTAGCCAAAGAAAAGTTAAGGCAGCGTAGAGAATGTGCTTTATAGTGAGAGTTTGTCCACAACTGCAGATTAGGGAGTAAGACTTCTTCAAGATCCATTGGTGAGTTGCAATTGTATGACCAAGGCGAATTCTCGAAAATGTTTGGATCTTGGTTTTCTCAACATTTGTTGGATATAGAGGTGGAGTTAATTGAGAATTAATGGAAGAGTAGTAGCAGTTGATGATGGTATTGTAAATTTCCTTCTAAAATTTTCTCTTTAACTTTTCTTCCAATGTATCTTTGAAGATCCAACTTCTCCATGACATCATCCATAACTAGAGGAGCAGAAGCAGCGTCCTCTGATGTTACTTGTTACCCATAACATTTTAATTTTTTCGTCGTGTGTTGTAAAATAATGATTATAAATAAAATTAAAATACATTTAAAACTATTTTTAAAATAACTTATAAAATGCATTTTTTCTAAGCAATTTATCGTTAAAATTATAATTCGATTCTTAACTTATGGCAATTTAACGCTATGAAAATATTTAATGGTGAAATTGACTTTTTATAAAATTTCCCCACTTTTTGTCTTAACAATGTTAACCATAAAATTACAAAAGAATCGCTAAAAGGATGAACAGCCACACATAAATGCGGATATCAGTTAATATTAAGGATGACACCTAAGCAAAGTGAACATAAAATCTCTTTTAGTCGCGTTATAACCAGAAATACAAATAATGAAATACCTTAAAGCTATTGTACCGACATCTCAGATGACAATATTGTCATAACAGGAGTTGTGAATGCACGTATGGCAGTATGGCAGTAGAGAAGTTTTATATATATATGGATAGATTTAGAAAGTAAACCCCTTAAAGGGATGTTTACTATGTAAGTGTTGGCGAACTTTCTTCTTACTTGCACGTGTGTGAATTTCTATGAATAAAAAATCTTCTAACGCAAGTACAACGTAGTTGTGGTTTTGTGATACTCTGCTACGTACATGTTTGTGTGTGTGTGTGTGTGTGTGTGTGTGTGTATGTGTTTTTTTTTCATTCACTCCGTTTCCAATTCAAGCTCTTTTTCTCTTTTACTTGTTC